GGCCCAGGCAGAACCATCACTACTACAATTCATGTAAAAGCCTCCCTAAGGCAGGCTGTGTTAAGATGATCTTGTAGTACAGACATAAATAAAAGAGAGAAGGAAAGCTAGATGCGTTTTTTTCTAAGTGATAATATCTTCTGTGTAATTTCCATACTGCACTAAATAAGATACAATGTGAAAACAACTTATTTTTCTTAAAAGAGGTCTTTGTAGTGCTTATAATGCATAGCTGAAGTCTATGTTGCAGTACTTATTAACATGAAACTGAATTTCTGTAAGTCACATTTTGTAAAATGGAAAATGCAGTAACTTTTAAAAGAACGTGCATAAAATTGGATAACGGAAGTAGTCTAAGAGTGTGTGTATCATTTGTGTAGAATACTCTGTCAGGATGATTAGAGATAACATATGCAACTTTAATCCGCTTGATCAGAAAATGTCTTGCTAATCTTGTGGAAGTATGATACAACTGACACTAGAGATCATCGTATTACATCCCTTTTCTCTGCTCTCTTATAAATTTGACGTATTTCAATAATTTGTCTGTATGTCACCCTTTTGCAAGCAGTCAATCCATCAGAAAAGAAGCGAACTCTGGTTATACAAGCAATCAGACATTTATAGTTCACACAAAATCACCACTGAGGGTAAATGAAAAGCGTAAGTAGAGAATGGCATCCTCCTCCCACTTTAAGTCTTTATTTCTGAAAAGCTTAGAGAGTAAAACCATCCACAGCTATTCCCTCAGTAAAGGATTTCTGTACTACTAAGCACTTTCTTCTGGTTCATGTTCTACTGTGGGATGTCAGCTGATTTCAGGCACCACAACTGGTTACTTTGGAAATCATTAACTGTACAAGCAAAATAGAGAACCTAACAGGAGGAGATGCGGCACTTCTTTATTTATTTCATTAAAGTGATTTACAATAAAAATGAAATGCTGAAAGTGCTGTATTATGTGTTTTCCATAATATTTTGGTGTTGAAAGAACTGAAATGTTAATACACAGACACTTTTCAGCTTCTCTGGAATAGCATATGGAATTACTGCTCGTCTGGGATATCAGCTGAAGGTAGTATAAAGTTAAATAATAATAATAATCCTGTATTGTATATTCCATGGCAGGCTCTGCTGATATTAGAAGAACCATTTGTCCTACATCTAATTTTAAACTTTAAAACTTTTAAAAGTGCCCTAACTTATATGTAGCTTGCAGGTCTAAGCACTGTGACTCTTAAACGTCTAATATGCTGTAGTTATAGGGCTGGGAGAGCAGGAAATGAAATACTCATGCAAACAGTTTAGGCAGAATCTAAATATACTGAAGAACTGTGTCCTGTTTTTAATTTTAAAGCTCTATATAGTGAGCCAGATACACTGCACACAGACTAATGTGTGAAGGAATCTGCTTTGGATTATCTAAAAATTGATTTCTAGAAAGATGACTATTGCTAGAGATGGCAAGCTGAACTAGCTGCAGAAAAATGAGCTTTTGACATGGAACTAACACAGGGAAAAAAAAAGCCTTTGAGTCCTGCTCTTAAAATAGTGTGGTGGGGAGCAAAGGAAGGTGGTAATTTACAGTTGCCTGTAGTTGTTTGAGAAGTCCTAGCAATTATTTTTACCATAATCTTGGCAAAAGCAACCGTGTTGCTTACGGTTATATAATGGTACATTTGTTGTGAGGGGAAACTGAACTGTGGGTTCTTCCCACCCCTTCAATTTAAAAAAGTGGACAGGATAATCTTACTATTGAAAAAGAATCTTAGATACATTTTGTTAACTTTTAATGTTAAATCCTGAAAAGGTAACATTTAAGTATAGTAATTTAAGTAATGCCTTGAAACAGAATTTTCCGTTCCCCAGTGTTTTTTAGCTTGGTTTCTATGGAAATGAAACTTACGGATCTGTCAGACCCCTTCTTCCCTTATCTCTGAAAATAAGTTTTAAATTTACCAGCCGATATCAGCCAAATTGAAGCAGGAAGGGGGAGGCTCCAAGGCAGCTGGGTCCCTAGAGGCTTTGAGAAAACAGATGTCTGTGCAGAGACGAATCAGTGTCCTATGAAGACAAAGCAGGAGAGGTGGTCCTACCGTTTTGTCTGGTAGGAACTGCCTCCCCAGCTGGGAGAGGCAGAACTTGCAGCTTGCCAGGGTGAGCCCGCCCTGCCCCAGTGGAGCCTCCTGAAAGACTGAGAGGACCTGAAGTTACCACTTTGAGGAGAATGCAGGAGAGGAGACGCTTGCAGCAGAGATAACGAAAGCTACAGTCTGCTCGTGGAACAACTTGTCCTTTTCATTGCAGCTGTGAATATTTGAGATTCTTAATCTGCTTCTTGTGTATGGGGTGTGGTTTTTTATTTTTTTTATTACTTGTTTTTTAATTTTTTTTAATAATGGGATATTCTGTAAGGCGTATAGTGATTTTTCTTTAAGTTACTGCATTAGTATAACCAGGATGCCTTTCAGAATTTCTGAAAGATCTGTATAGTAAGAGACAAGATAAATAGAAATGCTTAGTCCCTTAATATAAATTATTCAAAATAATGACCAGGACTGTGTCTTTTGAGTACAGTTGATTGAAGGGCATAAAGGACTCCTTCGGAGCCTGTAGTGTGGAATTTTTCTGTTCCCTACGTGCAGTTCCTTCTACAGTTGGATGCCTTGTTAGCTTTTTCTGAAGGAAAAAAGTGTTAGGTGAATGTTCTCTTTGCATCCTCTTGTCACCATCATCACTTATAACTGTTATTATTTTCATCAAAATTTTTTGAAAGTTAATTTTCAAGAAAGCAAATAGAACGCACAAAATTAATGTCCTTGGTAATGGAAAAATGGGTATTGAGCAATTCATGTTCTTTGATCAATGAGCTGTTGTCAATCTTTGTATATGTACTATTTTTTGGTAGGAGAAAAGTTTGCTCTCGCTGAAAGGGAGGGCAAAAGGCAAGGAAGAATGGAGGTATGCACATCCCTTAAGTAGACTTTAGTTCTTCTACTGCTCATAGACCAAGCTGTTGCGGTAGAGTAATCAGAACTACCCACACATTCCCTATGAGGGTGTACCAGGCATTAATGTAAAAGTATGCCAGTAATGTTCTGTTATTGCTCACCTCATTCCTAATAAAATGACACTTTTATTAAAAAAAAAAAAGGTGTTTTAGTTGTATCCATGTCAACATCAATTTTTTTTTTTACGAATGATTGTACTTAATTTAGAATTGTAACATTTATAGTTCTCAGTCAAACTATTTTTCTGACCTACTTGACCTTTTCAAAATCAGGGTTTTATTTGTTATCTTATTTGCTTTCTGTATGCCTAAACATATTAGGCTGTTTTGAAGTGGTTTTGTTTTTCTGGTCTTAACCACTTTAAATAGCTATGCATATTTCTCAGCTGTTTGCTGCTTTTTCTGGGTCATTGATGAGACATTAAATGACCTAATTACTCAGTTTCCCTGCACCCTCAATACCCCCTTTCATTATCTAGAAGGTGATCTCAGCTTAATTGTGTGTATGTGCACGTACGTATATATATTTAAATATTTATCTATAGGTAAAACCTTTCAACTTTGGGCTACAACTCTTTGAACACAATATTTGGAGGGACTTTTGAAAATCAGTTTAAACATGTTTTAAAAAGTTAATCATTAACTTTAATCAAAATTGAAACTTAAAGTTAATAATTTTATCACTTTAATTTGACATATTAAAAGAGAGATGGTGTATGAGAAATTATATGAAAATTGTATAAACTTCTTCTATTGTGCTAATTTCTTGTGAAGTATTTTGTATTTTCCCTTGAACTTTCTTTTTTCTTA